CCAGCAACCACAGTCACAGCCCAATCTACAGTGACCTTTGCGGCAGAATACATCAGCAGTGAATATGCAAACGCATCCTAAACCAAATGACACTTCACAAAGTCAAAAAAGACCTTATGCTTACAAGCACAGCCTCCTCCTGCATTCTGTTCATTAACATTAAACAAATCTTACCATATTCCGCATTCGTTTCAACCCGGGAAAGTTTAATTCTTCAACTTTGTACTTGGTGCTATAGAATGTTTTTTTCTGCTACAAGCATTTTTTGCAATGTGGATTTAAAAAAAAAAAAATTCACACTCTCAATATTTAAATTGTTCCCTAACACTGTCATGCTACAGAGCCTCTAAACGGACCTTTGCAAAAAAAAAAACAAGAAACTTTTTGCATGCTCATGAGAAACTATTGCATGCACATGATTTTGTTTGGGCAGTACTTCTTTTAATATCAAGGCCTTATGTCCCCTTAAACGCATTCTCTGTGGTGGCCTATTTACGAAGTTCAAGGGTCCATAACAGTTTAATAATTCATAAAAAAAAGATTGGTGCTTTTAAAAAAGTAATCAAAATGTGGATTTTGTTAAGGCAGTAAGTATATTTGTATTGTCCCATCGGCCAACTAAAAATATTGGTACATTAAAATGTTAAAATGTCTATGGCGCTGCTCGCAATAAGCGCTGTTGGAATTGAATGAAGAAACTACAGGTGATGAAAGCACATGTAGTTTCTTCATTCAATTCCAACAGCGCTTATTGCGAGCAGCGCCATAGACACAGAGCACTTTAGGAAGCGTTGTGTTATATAAAGGGAAGGTTCACGCATCAATAAGTAACAAACAAATAAATAGCTGGATTCAGCCTCGAACTTGACAAACTGTTCTTACAAAATCCAAATTTGGAGAAATTTTTCTGTACCAGTCTTTTTATATGAACAATTGAAATTACGAGGTAGGGCAATGCACACTGAGCCAATTTGTTTTTTTTTGGCCCCTTGAACTTTGCAAATAGGACAATGCACACGGCCGTATTGCGCCATCAGACGATTTCGCGGCGTGGTTTCTCGACCGCCACAGAGTTAAATTCGTTATAGCGGACATAAGGCCATGAAATTAGAAGTAGCCAAAATTTGAGCACGTTTTACTGTATCAGTCTTTTTTTTTTGGCCCCTTGAACTTGGCAAATAGGACATTGCACACAGCCGTATTGCACCGTCAGCCCATTTCTCAACGCGGTTTCTCGGCCACCAAAGTGTTACATTTGTAGCGGACATAAGGCATTGAAATAAGAAGTACTGCTTTACCAAAAGCCACATTTTTTTGCATATTTTACTGTATCAGTCTTTGTTTATGGCCCCTTGAACTTGGCAAATAGGACATTGCACACAGCATTGTTGCGGAATAAGCCGTTTGCAGTGCAGGGTTTCTTGGCCAAATAAACATTGTCAAATACGACACAGCCATTTTGCGGCATCTGCCCATTTCACTGCGCGGTTTCTCAGCCGCCACAGAGTTAAATTCATTAATGTGGCTCCAACAGTATCCAACAGTATCTAACATGCTTTTATTTGTTTTGTTTCGATGTTTCAGACATTCTCACTCATTCTCTTTGTGGAATGGGCTCATCATGACACTAGAAGAATACCTCATTTTAATCCATGTAACACTAATTTTATTTTATTTCATGTTTCAGACATTCTCACTCATTCTCTTTGTGGAATAGTCTGATCATGACACTAAAGACGACCTCATCTTAATCCATGTAACCTGACCAAACATGGGCAAGTCAGTGAGTCCACCCTCAGTCCTGCTGGGAGGGTCAATAGCACAGTTCATACTTTTATTTCCACATTTCTCTCCATTTTATTGATTAATGTTTTCTTTCGGAGCGAGACGGTACTTTTATTGCTTTGGCTTTTGTGATATGTTTTTGTTTTGGCTGAGGAGTGCGGAGCACGCTCGTATATCATGAACTTCTGCACAGTTTGCCTTCGCTAGCCCGTGGTGTTCGTCAGTAATTAGACCAAAGTCACAGAGGTGGCCAAGTTCAACCTCTTCATTAAGGTTCCTCTCCTCACGGCAACAGCTGTAAATGGAGAGAACTATCATTCGAGGTGCTGTGTGGAAATTTAAAATACATTTACAGTGGCATCCGAAAGTCTGAGACCACACTGAAATTCTGGGATTCAGAATCCAGTTTAGAGCTGTACATTTTAAACAAATGAACATTATGAAATGAATAGATTTGAATAAAAAATGGATTCTGAAATTAATGGACATTTTTCAACTTTTCACTAATATATTAATAAACCAATTTAAAATTCATTTTCACTAGATATGTCATACTTGTTGACCACACTGTATAGGAGGGTGTTTTTTCAACTATGCCCAATTTTTTTTCCACACTTTCAATAGCTAACTAACTCCCCACTAACACTATTCAACAGTGGACATATATATGAAATGTATTTTATTTTATGAATAAAATAATGTTTTTAATTATATATATTTCATTCTCACTACATTTTAAATTAAGGATTATGTGCCAGAATTAATAAAGGAACTTTAAAAAAAATATATATAAAATGGCCAATCCCTTCATCTTGCTCATTGGAGATCATTTTATAGCTATCATGTTGTCTCTTGAGAAAATTGATAAACTTGATTGGAAATAAATTACAATAAAAATATTTTGTTATTTTTATATTTACCGTGATTTTTTTTTTTTTTTTTTCACTTATGTCTCATATCTCAAGTATGTTGTCTCCTTGGAAAATAAGGTGTCATTGTGAAAATGGTTCACTGAGTGATTGATCATGGTGAAAATGATGCAGCAACTTTATATTTTTATGATGGATTTTTTTCCCCATAGTTCAAGATGAATAGTCTAGATCTGGGCCAAGGGTAGAACAAATCTAAATGGCCAAGGCCTTTGAAAAATAGCAAGAATAAATGTTGAAGGCATCATAAAATGCTTAAAGTCCATTTTAATGTGATATTCATATAGAAAAAAAGAAGGGGAAAAAAGGTTAATTTATTAGTTTTAATCAAGGTGGCAAAAGTTAAAGATACACCCAGTAAGTGTTTAGTTAGAATCACCACAGCGCATGATTAAAGGGATTGTTCACCCCAAAATGAAAATTTGCTGTTAATTTATACTCACCCTCAGGCCATCCAAGATGTAGGTGACTTTTTCTTTTCTTTAGGAGAACAGTAAAGATTAGTTTTGCTGAAAATGTGGTCCTTGGTGATTCGTATAATGCAAGTCAATGGCTACCATCACATCACAAGAGTCAAAAAAACATACAGGCAAAACAAAATTAATACCCGTGTCTCCTGACAATACATTGAGGTGTTATGAAGTGAAACAACCGGTCTGTGCAAGAAACTGAACATTATTTACAACATTATTACCTGTAATCCACAGCCTCGGCAAACGGTCCACCTTACATATACCTAAACCTACCCATCTCCGCCCCCTGATCCCTAACCCCACCCCTAATCCTACCCATCTCCGCCCCCTGATCCCTAACCCCACCCCTAATCCTACCCATCTCCACCCCCTGATCCCTAACCCCACCCCTAATCCTACCCATGTCCGCCCCCTGATCCCTAACCCCACCCCTAATCCTACCCATATCTGCCCCCTGATCCCTAACCCCACCCCTAATCCTACCCATCTCCGCCCCCTGATCCCTAACCCCACCCCTAATCCTACCCATCTCCGCCCCCTGATCCCTAACCCCACCCCTAATCCTACCCATCTCCACCCCTTAGATCTGGATCCAACTCCGCCCCCTGGATGTCATGTACTGCAATGAGGTGCTACTGGAAATGTTGGGAATCTGTGAAAAGTCAATCTTTCCAATTGAGATCACACATATATATAGGTTGCTGCATCCAGGATAAGTACAAGTAAGTACAATTTTGATGAACAATACAACACAGGAATTCATTGCTCTCTGTAAACAAGCAGCGTTGGCTCACATGCGAGTTTGCTCCTGCGTATACGTCATTATGCAACAGGAAGCTCGCGCTTACTGTTGTGAACGCGCTCAGGACAGTTTGCCGAGGTTGTATTACAGGTAATAATGTTGTAAATAATGTTCAGTTTCTTGCACAGACTGATCGTTTCGCTTCATAAGACCTCAATGTATCACCAGGAGCCACAGGTATTGATTTTGTTTTACCTGTGTATGTTTTTGGACTCTCAAAGTAACGCTAGCCATTGACTTGCATTCTATACGAATCACCAAAGTCCACGGTTTCACCTAAAAATCCTCTTTACTTTCCTACTGAGGAAAACTGACTCCTACATTTTGGATGGCCTGGGGGTGAGTAAATCAACAGCAAATTTTCATTTTTGGGTGAACTAATACATTAGCCAGAGGGATGTGGCGATTCGTTCCTTTGTGTGTCAGATCGGCGTGTTCAAGCAGGTTAAGTGCAGGTGAGTGCGAGACAGCTTCGGCACGGTGGCGTCTCTCCCCCCTCTCGGGGACCCGGGCAGAGCTTTCCCAATAGATCTTTATTTACAGCACAGGAGTCGGAAACGGCTGGTCAATCCATTTAGCCTGAGGCCACTGATTTGTTCGTATTTACTGCAACACCCAAAGAAAAGCCAAGGTATTTTTCCCTCTCTCCTTCCTATCGATTCGGCTCTTAGAAAATCTGCTCTGCTGTCTAAACACTATTGATCCTCCTGCTCTCCTCGCCAGCTCTTGCACCAGTGTATAAAGGGACTGGATGAATTGAAATTTCATTTCCGACAACTTGTTCCTTTTATTTTAACTTTTTTTTCTTATGAGAAGCAAGACTCAGCGTGGGTCAATAGCCACACGAAGGCTGAAGGTAGAGGTCAGTAGAGGTGAACTGCACTACTGAGGGCCTTTACTGTATGTGTGGAGCACTGCCATGAGTGGCGAATATGATCAAAACGAGGTGTCAGAATCAGTTTTTTTGTGCTAACGTTTGAATGACCCATGTGTTTGTGTGTCTAACTCCAGGAATCATGTGGGCTCCAGAGGGCACGAGAGGAGCTGACGGCGAGAGAAGAGAGATCTTCCCTTCAGGAGCAGCTCAACAGAGTCAGAGAGGAGCTCCACAGCGCCACCATCAGGGTACTGATGCCCAATATTTCCTCCCATTAGCCCAGTGGTTCTCAACTCCAGTCCTCGGGACCCGCTGCTCTGCATATTTTGTATGTCTCTCTTATCTGACACACTCAGTTCAGTTCATAGAGTCTATCCTAACAAACTGAGGATCTGAATCAGGTGTGTTAAATAAGGGAGACATACACAATATGCAGAGCAGTGGGTCCCGAGGACTGGAGTTGAGAACCAGCCCATTTTTCACATTTCAAGTGTTCTCAGAACCATCAGAGTCATCAATAAGTTGAACTTCAACTTAAGGGTGAACTTCTATACTGGTGAACAGTGCCGTAGCTTGTAAATTCTGTCTAACAGCTTAGGAAAACATTCAGAAATTAAAAAGAATGCAGTCAAATGCAAAATAAAACCACTTAAATTTCTCATTGTCTTCATTTTCTTTTGGTTTTATTAAATAAAGCTAATAAATGTATCCATCAAGAGCAGTGAATTATATTCACGTTTTCTTCACACATCAGCAACAATTCTTCTGACACGTATCCTATTTTCTGCGTGTTTTACAAACCAACAAACTACATAATAGTACAAAAAGACAGGGACTTTGATCTCCTTGCGTACCTCTCCTTCTCACGTTATTGGTACCCAGATTTTTCCCCCAACATTTTCAGTCAGTCAAACTTTCATTGTAACTTTACTTCTTCAACTGTTCTCGGAGTAGCCTCAACTCTGATTGGTTCTGTTCACTAGCTGGGCGGGACTTATTTTATTGGGTGCCTCCCGAGCGGCAACTTTCCGGTCTCTCTCTCTCTCTTGAGTGACTTAAAGGGTCACTTCACCCATTTGCATTAAGGTTTGTATTGTTAGAAACCCAGTCATATATTATAATGATGGTGGAATTTTGCTAGTTTTTTTTCTGAGATGGGAGAAAAAAGGATTTAAGTGTTTTACTTCCGTCCTATCGTGACGTAAATATCGTCATTTTGCGTCACGATAGGACGGAAGATAAATTTCATTGCATATTAAGAAAACTACAGCCTTTAGCTCATTATTATTCAAGGGCGTGGGACCCACTCACCCCACCGGCCTATTACAGATCAGTGGGTGGGACTAAACCTGAAGAAACTAAACTATTAATCCGCCATCTTGCTTGGAAGACAGCAAGCTAAGCTAACAAGCGCTCAAGGAGTTAGATTTACCATAATGCCTGAATTTACGACACACGATATGGAAGAGGAGGATTTTGACAATCTTTTGCTCGAAACTGATGTTCGTGGCTATTTATATGAGCCGCAATATAGTGAAAAGCAGCTGAGGCTGATGGAGGAACAGGAGGCGGACGAGGAGCCCGGGCTGGGTCGAGCTGGGCGGACTGCTGGTGCCTGTGCTCTCGCTGTGCGCTACGGACACAGATAGACTCCGTCTGCTGTCGAGAATTTCAACGATAGCAATTTCTCCTGGACGAAATCTCTGAATCAGACGAGCACACGGACGTTTGTGTTGTGATGTGAACCATCCTCGTGTCGCACCGCATGTTCTGACTGAACCAGGTATCATGCAATAATTCACCATATAGAAAGAAATACAAACGAGGAGTAATTCGCTAATGAGTTTGCCAATGTAACGGGGTTCGTTGTTGTGGGAAGAATGAGGCGGGAACCGGCAAACATTTAAACATTTTAATAGTAAAATAAACAAATACAAAACAAAAGTATAAGCCAGCAGCCCCTCACTGTTGGCCACACACAACAGAAACAAAACACAACATAAAATCAGGCCTGTTCCTCAGTCGATCTGCCCTGTCGTCGCTCCTCGTTTTATGCGTCCGCTCCTCGGTGAGAGACGCGAGAGAGACCGGTGCGTCTCATCGGTGTCGTTCATTATCACTCACGCCACCGGCCTCGCACAGTCATCTCACGTGCCTCGGCTCGCCCTCGTCCTGCTCGCCACAGCCAACTAACTAGCTATAAATTTTGTGTAAAATGAATTTCTAACTCTGGTGGCAGCTAACGTTAGCCTTGTAGACGGAAGAGGGATTTGTGATGTTTGCGCTGCTGTTCTGGATTAGTGGGAGTGGCTTGCGGAGCTGTGCAATGTGGTGCATTGTGGGAGTTGTTGTCTTTCATACAAATGCGCCCAAAAGTTATTTTCTGTCTTTTCTCTGTCAAGAGGGCACCAAATTCAAAATTTCTTTTACACTTCGACTACATATATGACCCACTTTCAATAAAGATTAATGTTGAAATGGGTGAAGTGCTCCTTTAACTTCAAGTGACTTAAACTGCAATTCATCGTCTGACCACTAGAGACGGGCTCCAAAAGTGAAACAATCCCCCCCCCCAAGGTTAATATGCACAACTTTACAGCAGAAAAAAATATATTTATAGCCTGGTACAAAGATTGATATTGGTCTATATAGCTAATTTTGCCCTTCATGACAAATGTGAGGGGAGTTAATTTTTTTAGAACTCTTCCATTTAAATTATATTAAGCCTTAAAGGTCTGCATAATTAAGGTCGTAGCCACTTGAGTGACAGGTGGATTGCAGCTGCTGTCACTACTAGCCGTTTGTCTGCTGGCAACCAGGCACCTCAGCTCCACCCACGTCCCGCCTCTTTGCCCATGCTCTGTTATCTTGGAGTGACGCGCTGCCAACATGCCGACGGCCGGCTCCACCCACTTTAGGCTACAAAAAGGCTCTTCATAAACCTACGGGTGACGTCACATATTTATTTTACACTCTATGGTCCCTCCTCTACTGTTTGTTACTGACTGAGCTGAAGTAATTAATAACCATCTGTAAACCATCTCCCAACCAGGGGAGAGAGGAGATATTTTGAAAGCTGCTTTTACTAAATAGAACGTTTTTGTGGTTTTCATTAAACTCAGGCATACCAAGCTAACACTGTAATATATACTATAATGATTTATAAGAGTAGGGGAATATATAGCATAACTACTTGATTTAGTAGGCCTCCTGGGCAGTGCCCCAAATATCATTCAAAATACCACAGTAGCATTTCTCTGACTTTACAAAAGACAATTTTTGAGAAATTGATTGTAGTGGTCAGAAGAGAGAACAATGTCAAATTTGCAGTCATTCCCTCAGCCATTGTTGTATTAGAAACACTCGCGCAGCAGAAAGTGTGTTATAAATTATACGTTATAAAAAAAGTTGCTAGATTTACAATGTTAATAACGGTAGAAACGTGTGGTCCATGCTGCTCAAAAGGGGGAAGCCTTGTTTTAATTATCATAAATATTCATATAACGACCACCAGCCCAACCCCGCATTCCATTCCCGGCTCTGTTGATGCATATTTTAATAGATTATCATTACCGTCGTCGTAACTCTTATTACTGTAGGCGTAATTACCAGATTTACTGCGGAATATTATTTTCGTCCCCTGCAGCCGTTTTGCTCAGCAAACCCAATTTTTCCTCTGTCGTAAACAGACTGCTTCTTAGTCTGCGCCCCCCCCCCCCCCTCCCAAAACGTCGAGCCGTTGATAATGATAAACACACAAACAGGCCGCGGCGGCTACGTCCATGCCTGTACGACACTCCATCTGAATTGCATATCCGCCCTGCCGCTGAGATTGTCATAAGCCGTATTAAGAAAAATGGTCACGCAGTTTGACACAAATTGGAAAATGACATTTGGAAAGCGCCGCTGCCGTGGAAATTAGAGATATTAAAATTATAAATCAATGTCTGGGTAGAAGGAACGGATGGGGGGCCGGGGGTTAAAGGTCCCATCATGACTAGGGGCTAATCTAAATCCACCCGGGCTTTGATTGTTCATCCACTGTCCACTCGTAAAGAAAGGAAGGGAGGATATTGTTTCTTTCCTATGGAGTCAAGTCAGCTTATTTAGCGGCTCCAACACCACAACCTGCTAATGGATCATCTCAAAGGTGTGATATGCATTATGCAAAGGCATCCACTTGACACTTTTAACGAAGTCTTTCCTCCCTGTGCGTCTCACCTTCAGTTGCTTTTCTTCGTGTGTGTGTGTGTGTAGGAAGAGGAGCATCGGCTGAAAGTGCTGCAGATTGATGAACTCCAAAGAGAGGTTGACAAGACACTGGCACTGCTTGAAAAGGAGAGAGAGGTCAGCAAACCCCTTCTTAATAGCCGTAAGAAACGTAAGCATGTTCCTCCCATCGCCGTGTACTTGCAGTTCATACTTCTTTCTTTGGTATTTTTATTTCTTTTTTTCAAAGTAAAAGGGTCCCAGAAGGTTGGGCCTGCTGGGTCTCTGAAATCCTTGAGACTCTTGCTGTGCCCTCGTACCCTTGATAGAACAGTTCGCCACATTGACACGTTGCTTTATTAGCCGTGTTCTCCACCTGTGCTCGCCTGAGCTCTGAACATCTGCTGCTTGGTTACGTTGGTTGTTAATACACTGGTTGAGAGGAAGCTCAGGGATCATACTTTGTTGTCTGATTTCTCAGTTTCACCTTCAAACCTAAGATTGACTGTTTTTATGCTACAAGTATTCTGAACACTGGAACTCAATGCCATTTCAAGCACCTGTTGAGAGCTTTCGCTCTCCGTTTGCTTTCAGTAACGTCTAGAATCGATCAAGACTATCTCAGGTCTGAAGTTGTCTTTCTCTCATAGTCAAATTATATTGAAAGAAAAGATCAAATTTAGTAATGATGTAAGTATTTAATTTGATTAGGATTCTTTGCACAATGATGTAATCCATCATGTAATCGGATTTAAAAAAAATATGTAATTAATAAATCGTATATGTATCTATTATTATTAAATATGCTACTTTATAATTATAACATATGCTGAAGGCACAAATTTAGCTGTAGGGACGATGTACATTGTTGTGGAATATTGACAACAAATGAAACACCAGATTGTACATTCATAAAATTTTTATTTTTTGGGATGTTTTGCTTGTCTAAATATTTAATTGACAAAATTATTAATATTTAATAATCATTAATAATTATTTATTTTTGTGTATTTCAAGGCTTGTTTTCTCTTTTTGTGTTTTTTTTTGTTTTGTTATTGTTTCACTTTGCTTCGTTTTTTTTATTTTTTTTTTATCCTCTCTTCTATGACTAACAATTGTCATCTCCTGTCAACATTAATTTATGGTAGCTTTCCAGTATGTTGTGTTTTGTTTTTAGTTCAGTTTATTGTGTAGCCTATAATGATGGCCTTCCATTTTGTCACATTCTAATGCTTCATTGTGTATCTTTGTTGGATACAACATGAAAACTTTTAACTAATCAACACAGGATATGCACTATGCACAGTTTTATTAAAAAATGGCCAGAAAATAAATGTGAAATGTGTTCAGCACTTGTTTAACACTCACGCCTTGTCTGAGACCTTGCGTGAGTTTTTCCCTTCAAAAGAAGAACGATAGTGGAGACGATACAACAAAAAGCCATTGTTGCATTCTCCTGCAGTGTACCTAAACAGCAGAGGTCAGATAGATCATCTTCTCTTGGACACACTCTGAAGGACTGTGCGTTTTCTTTACTTTCTTTTACTGTTGTTTTTTCGCATTCATCCCTCAGCACCTCTCTGTTCTCTTCATCTCTCCCTCTCTCTTGCTGCAGGATTGTGTAAAGGCCGAGGAGCTGAAACGACTGAGAGAAGATCAACTCAAGGACAAGGTCTCTCAACAATCCACTGCCTATTAGCTTCTAAGCAATGTCTTCCTCACCGCAGTTAAGTGCCAGTCATAACCTTGCCATAATTTGAATTAGAGCTGCGACAGCACGTGTTTTTAACACAGAGACCCCACACACACGCCTACACAATCGCCAGTGATGGCTCCGCTCAAAAAAAACGTCTAATATTATGACTGGCCCTAAAATGAGATGTAATATTAATGTGCTGCAGAGGCCAGATCTCAGCATCAGGAGGTACAGTTAACGCCAGTCATGCTCAACAGGCCACTATTGAAAAGATGCTCTGATAAAAACTGACGTGCAAAACGACACATTTTCCAAGTTAAAACCATAATATGTCATTTTTTTCGTGGCTAGGGGTCGCTAACCTCTTACAATAACAAAGGCGTAGGTTGATGACGCACAAGCGGAATCATGGAACTTGTCGTCATGCCGAAGGATCTAATAATGTTTAAATAATAATGTAAAAATCATCTAATAATGTAAACATGAATACATTGATGTTTTTAACATGACTGTGGTATGAAGCAGGGCGCGATTGCTAATGAGAGACAGATATCAGCGCCACACACGTGTCCCGCAGATATAAAGGAATAAGGACAGTTCATTCTACCAAACTACCTGCAAGTGCTGAATTAATACTGAAAGTTATAATGTTATTCTATGTGTTAGTTTGTTGCCTAAATGAGACTAGCAGTAAGCTAGATCAACATTAGAATAACATACTGATCATATTCTAACATTTAATCATGTTGAGCTATATAACATTGATTAGTTGTATGTACATTAGCTCACCTGTCTAATAAAGTACATATAAGAGTGGCGTCTCTTTGTAACGGACGTGGAGTTCTCGGCATCTCGAAAACGCCATGCTGATATTGATCCTCGTTTTAGTTCTCCTTTTGTCCCAAAGTCTGATGGCCTTGGTCCATAATGTTTGAACGAAACCACAACAGCGTGAGCGTGCCGCTAGACGTAACGCAGTTGTCCACGTCTGTCGCCATGGTTACTATGGCAGTACGAGTGGAAACCAGGGATAACGCGGATATTACGCCATTGACAGGCAACAAATGAACGGAGTCAATTTAAAATTGGAATTTCTCTGAAATGAAAAATCTTTGGGAACTTTTGGGATATTGTAAGTACACACCTGCAGGAAATATATCACACTGTGCAAGTGATTTTTGGATATTTTATTACAAAAATCTTACATATTGTAGCTTTAATAGAGGTTTTCAAACTTGTTGATACCCCGTAACCCCAAATATAATGATTCTCTTACGAGGACCCCCTTCCTAAAATATCAAGGAAACTATATATTTTATATATATATATATATTTTATATATTAACGACATATTTTATACCATATAACTATATATTTTATATTATAACTATATATTTTAATTTGATATACTATATGTATAATTTATTAATTTATTTTGCAGCGTTACATGTGACAAGTAGTTACTATAATTTATAATCCTAAACCAGACCCTAATCCTAACCCTATAGTAAGTACATGTAGTTAATCAACTTTACTACCTTAAAATAAAGTGTTACCATAATTTTTTTTATAAATGTACTTTTTACCCGTTTAATATACAACCCCAAAAATAAACTATAGCTGTCAATAAAATAAAATAAGTATGATTTATCTCATAATTTCTGACCAGTCTTCAGAAAGAAGAATGAATAAAATAATATTTAATTTGGAATATTGAATTTATGTATTTATATGTGGATGCCCCTTAACAACCTTTTCAACCTTTACCTTGACACCAGTTTGAAAATTCATGAAGTTGTAATAATAATAATAAAAATGATTTTTACACAATTTTTTCTGAACTTTTCCACTGATCCCTTTGCGGTCCTCTGAGGGTCCCTGTACTCAATTTGAACTAGTCAACTAATCCGGTCTTAAGTAAGCACTATAAACTAGCCGACCTCACTAACTGACTAGTTGGTTGTTGGAAGACTAGTTGTCCATTCTAATCCATCCTTTCCCTGAAGGGTGAAGTGCACAGAGGAAGTGTTAAGGTTGTTTTTCCACCTGTGCACAGTTGAGCGCACAAGCCTTTGACCTTGACCTTTGACCTATTGACCTTGAGTGCAGATGGACGCGTTTGGTCCACCTTTCTTTTCAAGCGCTCAATTTACTTGCACATGTGTATTATTTTCCACACACAAGTCCGTACAGACGCAGACACAAAATTGGACTGCATGCGGATGGTGTGTGTGGACATCAGTGGACTGTGCCGATGGCGGAAAGTATGTCTGTGAGACGAGGACAAGGGAAGCATACTTTTGGCCTTAGGTAGGCTGTACCCGTGTAAGCGTGAGGAGGGTAACCTGAGGGGAGCGCTCAGTCTTTCTTGTTTTTACACTTTGGCCTCCATGCGCTTTGGGACCTCAGTAAAACAGCTGCTTCAAAGTGCGACCAGCCGCCACTTACTGCTGCGATTTCCTCCGCTCCTCGGACAAGATTACTTTCCAAACACAACGCAGACAGCTTGATTAATAGAGGGGTCCGCCGAGGTGCCCGCCGCAGTATATTTTCACACTTACTTACGCTCATTTCATTCGCGTAGACTTTCATGCGCTGATCCTTTCACCGCAGGAGTCCGTCGGTTCATAAAATACATACGGGCCTTTGAGGCTGTCTGTGAAGACTCGTTAAAGATTCTAGATGTGTTTGAGAGCTGATGGACAAGGTCACTTCTCATCTGTGTGTGGACGTCAGTCACGTAGTGATGCAGCATTCATTAAAAGGTTTATGTAAATGTAGAACTTCTTACTGAGGATTCTGTATATTTGGAGCTGGAGCTGTGATGTACATACTGTATGTGGTCTCAGCTGTCTTAAACTCTTCTGCTCAGTGTATTGGCCTTTTTGCTACTTTTATTTGTACGGACAGTGAGAGATAGGACAGGAAATTATGGCAAAGATGAATGATATCTGGAAATGTTGTAAGCCAGATTCAAATTTGGTTTGCCCACATGAACACAATGGATCAATGTGTCAACACAGGGCCAAAGCTCCAACAGAGTAGATGTGTGGGTTTTTTTTTTAAATCCACTCTGTCATGGAAATGTATTGGTCAAAACATATGGAAACCCTGTATAATTTAAAACCTAACAAACTTGAAACTTGAAAATCCTGATAGCTTGTAATGTAACTCAATGACATCTTTTTAACAGTATATCAGATTACTTACAGTACATAAAATGCATAGTTGTCACTCTATATCTTCCGATAGTACGTCTTAAATGCTTATTTTTCTGATCAAAGCTCTGTAGTTTTAAAACAATAATGCAGTGCGATACAATGAGGATTGAGACATGAACAAATAAACGTTCCTCAAAATCCTTATGAATCATATTTGATACTCATATTTTAACATGATTTTACTAAAAAAAATGATGTATGGATAATCAAGCAAACCTAAGTAGCTTCTGTTCAGAAAGTGTTCATTATGAAATAGCAATATAAAAGTTATTCTTACATTTACTTTATAAAAATCAGTAAAGATTTCACAGCAAAAAGACATGAACCACGACCTGAAGGTGGACCGCTTTAGAGTGATACTAAAATACCTTTTAGTTACTAAAAAAGTTTAAGCTATCAATCTGAAAACGAAGGGATGTAGTAGATTGTGTACAACAGGTTTTTCAGCAAAGTTTTTATCATATTGATAATTTAGTAGATTTTGAAAGATGCATACAGTAGGCTTCATAGGAGTAAAGTAATTGGTACTCGGTTTGATATTTTTGTATCTAGTCCGATGACATTCATGCATTTTCCAAATAGGATTTGCTGCCACTGTACATGCATGTATAAAGCTTCCTGTACATGTGTGTGTAGGTCAGGCATCAGGAAGAGCTGACTGCAGAGTTGCAGAGAGGATTTGACCAGAAGGAGAAAGAGCTGAAGGAATGGAAAGAGCGATGGCACTCCGTCTCAGAGAGTCTCCGGCACGCACACACACAGCTCCAGCAGACCCAGGACAGCCGAGAACGGGCCGTCAGCAGCCTGAAACCACAGCAGGAGAAGACCTGCAGTCTGCAGGGTGATGTGGACACACTCCATATAGCGGTGAGGGCAGGGGAACGACACACGAGGGGGGAAACAGAGAGTAGATTTAACGGATAAAGGTCAAGGTCAAAAAAGTCATTAAATTCACATATTTAACGGTAGGACTTTATGCATGTGTGATCAGTTTGAAATCATACAAACAGAATGAAGCAGTTATAATTTCAATAAAGGCATTCATGGCATTTTAGAAATAATAATAAGGGCGTTACACATTTGATCAATATACATGCTTTAACCTGTTAACTTTTTACAGTCTACTCAAAATACAAAATTTAGAGAGGAAAATGTAGAAGAGGAGTGAGATTTTAGATGTAAAGCTGAGGATGGAGGCAGGTGAAGAGCTGTGATGGAGACCAGAGGAAAGACTGGAGGAAATAAATGAGAAAGAACGGGTGGATGGCTAGAGGTCGCCTGACTGTGACCCCGTGACCTCTCCTCATTCACACATCCACACACTGGGGACAAATTAAGCTCAGCTCCAATCGGTGGACCACTTTAAAACATGCTTAATGTGCACCTAGACAATAGTTTAGTTCCAATCTTTAACAGGCGGAAGGAACAGAAAAAATGCAGTTTATTAATGATGGCCAGTAAGTCAGTTTGCTAACATTCACAGGACAAAGGATTTGGTTGCATACTTTTTTTTTTTTTTTCGCTGGGTAACACTTTATTCTGATAATCCACTTTAGACATTCCACTAACAATAATAAGTAACTTTGCAACTAAATGTCAACTAAATCTCATTAATTTACAACTACAAGTCAACCAACTCTCTTTAATTTGCAACTACAAGGCAACTAACTCTCATTAGAGTTTTAGTAAATTGTTAGGTTAGGGATTTGGTTAGTAGAATTACTTGACATGTACTTGCAAAGTTACTTATAGTCTGTAGAATGTCTGTAGAAAGTGTTACCAAAAGCTGTATTTTCTAAGTTTAGTTTCAAGTATATTTATATTTAGATTAAAGAGTCCTTAATGTCAGCATGACATGTAAATTAATCCAATCTATTTTCTAAATGCATGTTATTGACCTTACTGTTAACGATTCATCCTATTTTTATTTATTTTTTTTACCATAATTTTGAATCAAAATGTCATAACTGGATCTTTCATAGCCTGGTTAAAACCAGACCATTCTCAGTTGTAACTGAGTTATGGTCTGGCAAAGCGTCATAGACAAATCATTTCCAGAGGGGCGTCACCAACGGACGTCGCGGATAGACCTAAAACCAATCAGAGCGATGAAGGAGATGACGTATGCAGAGCGGCGGAGACACATCTCCGAGTGTTGTTGTTTGTTCGGTTTTTAACAAAAAGGAAACATTCAAATCGCTTAAAACAGACGCGATAGCTGATTCGAACGAGTGATGTTCGACGGCGGCATCCATCTTTGTAATGTAGGCTACAAAATCTGCTTCAAAATCCCAGCGCTGTCGTCATCGTGTAAAGCCCGCCCCAACGTTTCTGATTGGTGCCTCGATTTGACGGATTGGAAATGGGCTTGAATGTGCTCTTTCCCAGACTAACTTTCAGAGCAAATCTAAATTTGCCGGAAGTTGTCTGGGTTTTCCGAGGCTATATCTTTCAGTTAAATGACAGACTTCTCTCTTGTGACTCTCTCTCAGACTTCTCCAATCATCATGTCATCTTAAACCCCGCCCCTTTCTTACAATCTGCAGTAAATTCGCATGCAGATCTGCCTCCATCCAATCAAAAACTGATGAATTAAATGAAGTCACCACCCTGTATAATCTGTTTCTGATGTCAAATATTTTTTGCGTCCATAATAATATTGTCCTTGTGCAATAGTTAAACTCAGGGAATTCACTCATTACTTAAGATTATACCCTTCACACGACCCCAAATACCAACCAGACTCACCACAAATCCTGACAAAACGCTCCAAGGACCCCTGCTGCTTGAATTTGTGTCGTGTCTTCCTTCATGATTACTGTAGGCAATATGTTTAGATGCTCTATTCACTGCTTTATATCCTGCATACACTCACAGAAATGCACTAAAATCATATTTTATTTGAAGTTGGATCATTCTGTTTGGAAAAAAGGGGGGAATGGTACTTTAGCAGATAATTATGTGTAATCCACAATCATTTCCAATAATAACAGACAAAGTGGTTTGAGCCCAGGTTATCCAATTTGCCATTTAATGTGAGAAAGGCTGTTGCTCGCTCCCTAAAAATTGAACCATTTCCTTAAATCGTCAATTTGCCCTGCATCCAGAATGCATGGAGGGCAGAAAGAATGGAACATTATATTCCAGTACTGTCCTCATATAGAAACGGAAGATGATTTTTTTTCTCTTTCTTTGTTTTGAACCCTGCTGTTTTTAATTGAAGCCTGTTCTGGGTCTTTTAGCATGGTCAGCATGAGGACAAACTGGAAGCTTTGAGCCAGGAAACAGAATTCTTGAGAGATACTTTAACTCTCTTATGCTCATTGAGGTTGCATTTATTTAATCCAAAATCAAGTAAAAACATTAACATTGTGAAATATCATTAAAATTTAATAGAACAGTTTTCTATTTTAATATATCTTAATATGTAATTTATTTCTGAACACACACACACGCACGCACACACACACACACACACACACACACACACACACACACACACACACACACACACACACACACACACACACACACACACACATGTCTGGTTTACTATCTTTGTGAGGACTCTCCATAGACGTATTGGTTTTTATACTGTACAAACTGTATCCCCTTACACTGCCCCCATCCCTAAACCTACCCATCACAGGAAACATCATTCTGTATGATTTATAAGCGTGTTTACCCATGGGGACCTCAATTTAGGTCCCCACAGTGACACGAGTCCCCATGAGTCTGTGTTCATTCAGGTTTAAGTCCCCACCGGGATAGAAAAACATGTACACACACACACACACATATATACACTCACCTAAAGGATTATTAGGAACACCATACTAATACTGTGTTTGACCCCCTTCCGCCTTCAGAACTGCCTTAATTCTACGTGGCATTGATTCAACAAGGTGCTGAAAGCATTCTTTAGAAATGTTGGCCCATATTGATAGGATAGCATCTTGCAGTTGATGGAGATTTGTGGGATGCACATCTAGGGCACGAAGCTCCCGTTCCACCACATCCCAAAGATGCTCTATTGGGTTGAGATCTGGTGACTGTGGGGGCCATTTTAGTACAGTGAACTCATTGTCATGTTCAAGAAACCAATTTGAAATGATTCGAGCTTTGTGACATGGTGCATTATCCTGCTGGAAGTAGCCATCAGAGGATGGGTACATGGTGGCCATAAAGGGATGGATATGGTCAGAAACAATGCTCAGGTAGGCCGTGGCATTTAAACGATGCCCAGTTGGTACTAAGGAGCCTAAAATGTGCCAAGAAAACATCCCCCACACCATTACACCACCACCACCAGCCTGCACAGTGGTAACAAGGCATGATGGATCCATGTTCTCATTCTGTTTACGCCAAATTCTGACTCTGCCATCTGAATGTCTCAACAGAAATCGAGACTCATCAGACCAGGTCTGGCAGCAACAACCACGCCACGCTCAAAATGGCTTAAATCACCTTGCTTTCCCATTCTGACATTCAGTTTGGAGTTCAGGAGATTGTCTTGACCAGGACCACACCCCTAAATGCATTGAAGCAACTGCCATGTGATTGGTTGATTAGATAATTGCATTGAGAAATTGAACAGGTGTTCCTAATAATCCGTTAGGTGAGTGTATATATATATATATATATATATATATATATATATATATATATATATATATATATAACACACATCAAATTATAATATTACATATTATACATATTATTTCTGAACACACACACACACACACACACATACATATATATATGCATGCATGCATGCATGCATGCACAAATTTGAGGTGAAATAGAATATTTTATTTTCATGCATATTCATCATTAAATTAATTATTATACATTCCTCACTAGGCACTTCACTAGTTTTATCTTTAAGTACCTTTTCACAAGCGTGTAGGAATCTGAAAATTGTTGAGGGCCAACTAATCATCTTAGCTCATGAATATGACACGCATGACAGTTGCCCATTAGTCGTACCTGATTTGCTGCCAGGCAGACATTGGTAAATAGATGCTAACCGTAGCCACTTTCCACCAGAGGAGGCCTTTGCAATTCAGACGCCCATTTCAAACAAACAGTTTCAAACAAACAATGTATGCAATGCGACTGTGATTACTTTATCTCTGTTATTGTTAACTCTTATTTCACTCTTAATATTCTATTCATAAACCTATTCATCTTCCACTATCCACGCATTACAATCCCGACCGAAAACAAAATCAACATTCAATCTTCGTCACTCTCTCAGCCCCTCAGCGATCTCATAACGTCTTGTTCAATTGACATTTAAGGATGTGCGGACAATATTCATTGAAGCATGGTGGACCTCAGGTATGATTTTATCAATCGCAGGTGCGAGATATAAATATATAAAATTAAACTATTGGAAAAAAGTCTTAAACAGTGAGTCATTCGTTCATTAATTCAGTCAAACGATTCCATCAAAACGCACAATGGTTCTACTGTGCATTTGTTGCAAAATAGAGCAAAAACAGGTTCTAAGTCTAAAATGAAAGTCACCCTAACATAAACTACTTGTTTATTGAACTGTTGTATAAAATCAACACCATCACATTGGCAATCATGCTGATATTGGGGAAAGCGGCACTCTATATCCTGATACAAATATTAAAAACAAGAACTCAAATAGGGACATTTTTGCCTCATATATCTTGATTTTTGAGGGGCATTTTTATTCATTTTGGTGGCATTTTTGCACCAGGGGCATTTCCGTGATGGCAGGGGCCAGGGCTCTTCTGTTGCGAGGCCCGTTTCAAGTGAAATATAGCAAAAACCGCTACGCTTACCACTTTGCTAATGTTTGACAGCAGCTAGTCTTGCATACCCACACAACG